AATCAAACAGAAGATTGTAGCTGTAATGCTAATTTTTGCTCCTGATTTAATTTAAATTTTAATTTTAAAATCAACTTAAATTTGCTTTTGACCATAATAGATGCAGAAATAGACAGTTTCATTGAAAAAGGTTTATTCAGCGACCAAGAAAAAATTCTCGTCAATTTGTCAAATATTCAAAAGCTAACAATAAAAATTGGACTTAAAGAGAGAAAGCAGTAAGCAGCTGAAAAATCTTTGATACTTTCCGACAATGCTTCCACAGTTCTAAACCGCATGTATCAAAATTTCATTTTTACTTCATCTTTACCAAAATTCCATCTTTTTAAAGGAAAAAAAAATAGTCAAATGATTTTGGCAATACAGGCGGATATTCATAACATTTCTAGATTACAGAATTTACTTTTTTGGGTTGTCTTATTCACTTAAATACAGATGATAATCTATTTGAGCAGGTAGAGGACAAATAGTTACTAGGCAATCACTGGTTTTCTATTTTTTTTTTATTTCCAATACAAAGCCAACTTAATTTGCTGTAAAGATAGCAAAACATTAGCAGTAGCTCCAAAAAGTATAAGGGTCAGTTTTGCTACAGCAGTTCTTCTTAATTCTGTTAATTTGGAAAGCTTAAACTTTTTGCCTTTTTTAAGGCGCTCTTATTAAACTGTCAGGGACAGTTGCTATTTTCACAGGTGCTTGAATGAGCACAGTACATTTACTGTTGGTCAGTTTTGTACTAGGTATTTTTTCTACTTAATTTTCTAACACCTTCCAGAAGAAAAGAACTTTCTTTTTTTTCTTTTTTGAGAAAATGAAATCAGTCCTATTTCTTACGGTTTTACCAGAGGTATGAGCATATTTTAGGGATAGACCGTAAAAATTTCAAAACTGTACTGCAATACTTTCGTTTACGATATGAACTTCTAAACATTGTGGACAGCGTGTTATAAACGTTAACGCCTAAGTCTTTCCTCAAAACAAGAACTGCTAATTTTTCAATGCTTTCAATATTATTTTTTTACACAGTCATCTCAAGTTTATTTTTTAGTTTCTTCCATAAAAAATTTTTAAAATATGCTGGAAGATGTCTGAGCATGACTGAAACGGTAGATTTCTTGTGAAACCCAAAGAACTGAACTTCGAAAATACGTTGAAATAAAAACCGTCATATTTTTACCCGTCGTTTCCCATTAGCCATTAAAAGCTGTGTACTGAACCGAAATTTCCAAACCCCACAATTTAAAAAATTGTATAACAGCCAGCTGGAATTGTGCCAATAAATTGAGCACATTTATGTCAGGACTCACGAAAAGATGTTATAGTAACTAAACTGCCAAAGACCCGCACTACAATTGTTTCCATATTTTCGTTTAGTCCCGCTTGACTTTCAATTGTTCACTTTCACATTTATGGCTATTATCGTTTGTAATACCCACATTTTATCTCACTAAAACGAGATGAATAAAACTGCTGTTTGCATATGTTCCAAAACAGAACTTGTTGAACTGTATTGTTGTTTGTACGCCATATCTCAGAATAGAATTATATGCTGTTGAGATTTTGTTAGCAGTAATACATTTTTATTGCCTGATAGAATCGCAAGTTATTTTTTTCATTCGTGGACATTCTCATCAAAATTTTATGGAATGTTTACGTCATAACTTTAGTGATTTATTGCTGAATAAATTTATTTGTTGCACTTATTAAAGTTCCTACAACATTTCTGTCGGCACTGCTATCTGGATAGTGTTATTTGTAGACTAATCAACGTTCGGTATATATATCTTTGATTTCATCTTTTAGGCATACCACGATGGCTTCGACTTTAACAGTTAAGGTACATCCTGTGGTTTATCTCACGATTGCGGATGCTTTTGAAAGAAGATCGAATAAACCTGGTGCGAATGACAAGGCACTTGGTACTCTGCTTGGATTTTATGAAAAGAATGCTATTCAGGTAGCAGTTACGTTAGAAATTGGTTTAAAAAGTGCGGCTGTATCCGATAATCTTAGACCGTAAAGGTTGAAATTTGTTCCTTTTTGCAATAATACTTGCTGTAACTTTTAACTATAAACGCTTCATTTATGTGGGCAGAAAGTTGGATGAAGTTTAGATTCTATTGTCAGAATGATTTAATTTTTTTCTCAATTTTTTCGCTGTCGATCTATCAAAAGGCGTTTCTGCGGATGGCAGTTCTTCTGTGCAATTTCTTTATTTTTTTTTAAGTTACTAGTCAGTTATTAAAACTCAATAGGTCACAAACTGTTACGCAATCCCGTTCAGTGAGCAGAAGGAAGATACACCTGAACTGGATGATGGATTTAACCAGTCAATGTTACAAATGATGAAACGCTCAACGCCTTCTGAACAGCCTGTTGGATGGTAATGACACGTTTATTTCAAAATGTTGTGTTTGAGTCTTCTCGTGCAAGTTATTTCTGTTTTCTTTTTTTTTGAATATTTTGCAGGTTTTATACGAATGCAGATCTCTCAGCACATTGTTTACCTTATCATGATTATTACACTCGTTTGATTAGTGAGTTATCGGCAAAAAAAGATCCGCCTCCAGTCCTACTGTTAACTGTCGATACAACCTTCAGTTCCCAGGAAGAAAAATTCCGTCTTCCTGTGCGGGCCTACATCAGGTTACAAGTGTACATGTTTTTTTTTTTT